GATCGGGCGCAGGTCAGAGCGTATATATGGGCAGCGCTGGCCCATCCCCGCACACTCCACACCGAGCCTTCCGGAGGGCGTGACGCGGGGAGAACGCACGATGAGGTGGATGAGGTGGATCGGGGTCCTCAGCCTGGTGGCCCTGTCCGAGTGCCTGGTGACGTGAGTATGGGGACACCTGTCCCGGCCTCTCTCACTGTCCCCTGAGCCTTCCACCGCCCAGGGCTGGACAAGGGAATGCATTCATTCCCTGTCGTAAGGTCCGCATCGCCAATTAGTTTTAATTTTAATTTTAATTTTTATAAATCCTCACCTGAGGATATTTTTCCATTGATTTTTAGGGAGAGAGAAAGAGAGAGGGAAAGACAGGGAGAAACATCGATGTGAGAAAAAGACATCAATGGGTTGCCTCCTGCACGAGCCCCCACCGGGGCCTGGGCCGGGGAGGAACCTACAACCGAGGTCCGTGCCCTTGACCGGAATCGAACCCGGGGCCCTTCGGTCTACGGACGGACGCTCTGTCCACTGAGCCACACCGGCTAGGGCCACATCTCCATGTACTGATGAATAGCTTGCCACGTGCACTGTGGGGCCAGGGGTCCTGGGGCAGGTCTGGGGGTTCCACAGAACCAGGCTGCCCCTGTGCGGGATGGTGCCCCCAGGATTGCTCAGGGCACCCCCTGGGCGGCTGTAAGGCTGGTCCCGTCGGGGGACAGCATTTCTCTCCCATTTGCTGCTCGGTCTCCTCCCCGCTCTCCCTCATCTCCGTGGGCCCGTGTCTCCACCTCTGTGTCTCTCTCCTGTCTCTCTGTCTTTTCCGATGTCTCTGTAGGTGCAGAACGCTGTGGGTTTTCCCCTCCGTTTTGGTTCTTGCCTGCTCCTCTGTCCTCTGGATTTCCCTAACGTCTTCCCCATCTCCCGCTTCCTGCCGCCTCCAGCCTCCCCTCCGCTTGACCCTGGAGAAGGGCCGGGAGGGACCGTCTGGGGCCCAGTTTTGTCTTAAGGAGCAGGTGGCCACAGCCAGGTCACACACACCCTGCCTTTCAGGTTCCTCCAGTAAAAGGAGTGATCCCACTCCGCTCCCGCCAGGGCTTCCTGGAGAGGGAGCCGGTGAGATGACAATGCGACAGCCCGGGCTCAGGGTCCAGGTCCCTCCGTCAGGGGCCTTCGGTCCATCCTCGCCCTCAAAGCCCCAAACCTGCCACGGGAGGCCTGCTGTCACCCCACTTCTTTGCAATGGGGACACGGAGGCTCCGCACGGGCCTGTGGCCTCCCCAAGGCTGCAACCCGCCCTGTGCTCAGACCTGGGCCCGTGGTCCGGCCTTTCCCTGCGTTGGTTGGGCGCCCGCCTCTCATAAGATGGCCTGTGACATCCCCAGAAAAGACGGTGCGGCTCCACCGCCAGGCGCGGCGGCCACATGGAACGGCGGGTGGGGAGCTGCTGTCC